AAGTGGAAGCGGCTTATAGCTGAGGAGGCTCCAGGAGGCTTCTGGCTCAACTGGGACTCATGCAATGTACCCTTCTGATCCAAAAAAGAGAGCTTTTTTCTTTTTCTTTTTTTTTGAGATGGAGTTTCGCTCTTGTTACCCAGACTGGAGTGCAATGGCGCAATCTCGGCTCACTGCAACCTCCGCCTCCTGGGTTCAGGCAATTCTCCTGCCTCAGCCTCCTGAGTAGCTGGGATTACAGGCACGCGCCACCATGCCCAGCTAATTTTTTGTATTTTTAGTAGAGACGGGGTTTCACCATGTTGACCAGGATGGTCTCGATCTCTTGACCTCGTGATCCACCCGCCTCGGCCTCCCAAAGTGCTGGGATTACAGGCTTGAGCCACCGCGCCCGGCCAAAAAAGAGAGCTTTAAAGAGCCACTGGGTATACATGAATGAGTTGCATTCAGTTTTCAATTTGTGGGCTGTGGTGTCAGAATCACGGTTTTGGACACATGTGTATGCATCCCTGTGCACGTGCACAAGCAGACACGCATACACACATACTCACACACACACACACCAGCAGCAATCAATGCCCTGTTTTGTGTACAAATGTGAAGAGTGGTAAAAGTAAACTCCCAAGACAGGTGACGCGGAACCGTCCAGCTGGTCTTTGCAATGAGGCTTGCAGCTAGTTTTCCTTCCCTTTCCTCCCCATTCCTCTTCTTTTCCTCCTTCTCTCCTGTCTCCTTTTTCTTATACTAGTGGGACTTTGTTGATTTTTCTTGTTTTAATTAGTTATGGATGAAGTTTGTCCTTTTTGAGCACACGGGAGATAGTGGTAGGGAACATGGTCACAGGACCAGCAAGAAGTGGGCCTGGATTTCAGGTGGGTTGTATATGATGAACAGGGGTTCACTGTGGATCCCAAATGCGGTTCCACCTTAAACTTTTGGCCCCACCGAAGCCAGATCTCTGTTGCTCTGCACTGCTTGCTTCTGTGCTCTGAGCTCTCTGGTGCAGAGGGACCAGTCCATCCACGCCATCCCTGCAGCATATCACAGAGATGGCTTGCATCATGTTATTTATATGTACAAGAGTCTAAAATGTGTGAAAAGCCAGACATAGAGGGTGCAGAGTCCTGCTTATGCGGAATTAGCTGTGGTTCCATTCAAAATGACAATGCCCGGGGAGTCTCAGTGAGGCCGAGAGGGCAGTGAATGAGCGGCTTTAAGACAAACAGACCCGGGGATGAATCCTCTTGTGTTCCTCACTAGCTGTATAGCCTGGGAAAATCCTGTAACTTCCCTAAGTCTCAAAATTCCTTAACTGCAAAATAAATATAGATGTCAGAACACCGTTAAACACCATCACGCATGTCATGCAGCGGCTGGCAGGCCGTCAATAAATACTTGCTTCTGCTATTTTAATTTTTATCCATGTACCAAGTAAGTATGTGCCTGGCACAGTAGAGGGAACATACACAGGCAAGGTACAGGCCCACCGGCCCCCACATGCCTGCATCCTAGTGAGGAAATCTACAAAACTTTAGTATCTTGATGTCTCTCTGCCTCACCTTCCTCATCTATAAAGGGTGGACAACCATACCTACTTCATAAGATTAAATGCATGAATACACATAAGCATTTAGAAAAGTATTAGCACATCGTAAGTGCTCGAACAGTTATTTTACCATGATTGTTCAAAGGAGAGTCAACATTTTGTTGGCACTGTTAGGAATTACTTTACAGAGAAGGTGACCATTGATGTGCGCTTGAGGGATGGCTGGAATTCCTAAAGATGGTCTGGGTAGAGCGACTGGTGAAGACCCAAGGTGCCGGGTGGGGGCGGGGAGGGCTTAAGGGAGCGCCAGTCACTCGCTGCTCGCTGCGGCACAGGGTCCGCAAAACTAAGAGGGAAAGGCAAGTCTGGAAGGACTTTTGGAAGGTCCTGAAAAGCTAAGTGAAAATTTGTGCTCAGTCACATAGGCAACGTGGAGATCCCAAGCTATGTTCAGGGTCAGAAGTAGGCACTAGGAAATCAGTGAGGTCTCGACATGAGAAAAGTCAGAATTTCCATCTGGGGTGCAAATGAGAAGTGAGGGACACTTCATCCATTCATCGCATCAACACACATTTCTTTGGTATGTGTGAGGCACTGTCCTAGACACTGGGTGAACAAGACAGAATTTGCCTTCCTGGAGTTCAGAGCCCAGTGAGAGAGAGAGACAGGCAGGCAGTCACAAGAGGTGCATCTCGTAAAGTGGCAAGTGCAGGAAAAGAACGTACAGGAGCTATGACAAGAGGGTTACCTAGTGGGGCTGCCTCCCTGAAGAAGTGACATGTAAGCTGAGACATGAAGGATGGGGAGGAACAACCCGCCAAGTGGAAGGACAGAGTGAGAAACTGCTTTCCAGGCAAAGGGTGGTGCTGGGATGAGAAGGTCATGTTTATCTCACAGCAAGGCATTTGTGGCATCAATGTGGAAAATGTATTGGAAAGAGGGCAAGAGCAGATTTGGTTGGACTCACTGGGACAGTAGAGTGGGAGCTACATCAAAAGAGGACTGAGAGAATTCTACAGGAAATGACGCTGTTCACCCAACATGGGATGAAGCTCACAAAAGGAGTGGATGCTGCGGAGGCCTTTGATACAACATGCAAGGATAGAGTTTCCTAAAAAATGAACCAGCCGGTGGCAACCGACTTCAGAGTAGCAGCGACTCTGGGGACTACTGACAGGGAGTGTCATGAGAATCCCTTCTGGGGGCTGAGAATTATCCACGTCTGCGTTTGTATCCTCACTTGCCTTCAGTGGGTAGGTAATTCCACCTAAGCATTCATACGTGCTATGTAAGAGTGATTTGTAAAATGAGAAAAAAGTCTGCTGTATACCACTGAAAAACAGATGCTCAAAATATAATGTTAAGGGAACAGAATAGGGTATAGAACTGTATAGACAGGAGCAGAAGTCAAATAAAATCAATACAATAGAATTTATTTGAAAAATTAAAAGGAAACACACATTTCAACATGGGTTGTTTCTGGTGGTAGGATTTCAGCTGACTGCTGTGAGAAGACGCCCCAGGGGAGTTTCTGAGACACTGACACCGTGGTTAGAGATCAGCCAAGCTCTCTGAGTAGAACAACAGGGGTGTGGACCCCAGTTCTGTTCTTTCCTCAGAGGGAAGTGACTTTCAGGAAGGCACATCACTTCTCTAACCCTCAGTTTCCTCCCCTGGAATAGGGAGTCATAAAAATGCCTCCATCCTAGGCTTGCTTGGGAACAAAACAAGACCACGTGTGAGCCTCTGCACCAGCACTGGGCCCACAGCGAGTGCCCGGTCAGTGTCAGTTACTGCCATTCAGGGGAAGCTCAGAGGCAGAGGAGAGTGAAGCTGTCCATGTGTGTACCCACTGTCCCTCCTTTCTGGGTCATCTGCAGAGATGGAGGCTGGAGAGGGGGACCCGAGGCAGAGGGTGAAGGCCTAGAACAGCCATCAGAGGAAAGTAAAGGCCCAAAAGCACTGAATGCCAGCTGGGGTGGAAGGTGATGGTTCCCGCATGAAATCCTCCAATTTCCTTGTTGCCAAAGAGGATGGTCAAAATGTTACAGAGTTGGGAATTGAGAAGGGGGTCAGGGTGGGAAGACGAGGACATGAAATTTCAGACGTAAACTCTAGACAGTATAAAAAACAAAGAATACCATTTTAAATGGGACAGTTTAAAGTTGAGCTTGTTGTGACTATGTATAACTGTGAGTATAATGTATACATATTACTTAAGGAGATCTTAAAAACCTGTATCATTTGCCTTTCTACCCAGAGACCCATTTCTTCCTTGCAATAACAAACAGCAAATATTATGATATAATATTCACATGCTATTTGAACACATGAAAAGTTTTTTTTTCTTTTTAATTAAAATTAACTAACCCTTCTAGGTACCAGTGGAGCCCAGAGCTCTTCAGGTGGAATTAGGGGAAATTTAATTGGCACTTAGTCAGTGACAGAGGAAGCATGAACTAAACACGTTCCTCAGGTATTTGTATCTCTTTCTTCCTGATCAAGGAGACAGGCTTATGATATTTAATACTGTCCATCAGCAAAATCGTGTTCACTGGTTAGACCACAAAGCACTAAAATGGACTTCATTTTAACATGAATGAAAAGGACATGACAATTAAAATAGAAACCTATTATGTCATATCCAGAAAAACTACAATTTGAGAAAGAAGGCATAGAATTTTTTTTTTCCACAGGGAGCTCCTGAAAATCTATATTGTGTGGCCCAACTGGATTCAATAGTATTCTTTCCTCCAGGGTGTGTGGAGGGCATTGTGTCAAGCTTGTCTCTGCAATCCAGTTAAAAGCTGCGCAAAGTGATACAATGCACACAGGGTCCTCTGAACAGCTATCGCCGAGTAACAAGGTTATTAGTAATGATTATTCAGCAATCATTTTTGTGAACACTTTTAAAACTGTATCAGGTATTGTGCTAAGCATTTTTTTATGCATTAGCTCACCTACTTCCCACAATAGACCAATGTGGGAGTAGTTTATCAAAGTCCATTTTGTGGGTAAAAGCAGTAAAGCTCAGAGTGGGGTGACCAACTGCCCAGGATTTCCCAGGATGTAGGGCTTTTGCTGTGTATGCCAGAAAAGTCCTGGGCAAACTGAAATGAGTTGGTGACTCTATAAGAGTGACTTGCTTGATTTTTAAGTGAAAGGGATTTAAACCTCTGTGTCTCTGACTGATCAGATTTCCTACCTCTTGCCAGCCCAGCTCAAAATTACAGTCCACAATGGCTGAACGGCAAAGACAGTTTTTGGTAGCATGTCAGTAGGGATCTAGGCGGAAATGCAGAAATATTATTTCTTGAAGGGTAATTGAAAATGTCAACTTGTCTCTCCCTGTCCCCAAAACACTGAGCAAGTAGATCTAAGCCTCCCTTTTCTAACATTTCCAAAGGCCTCGCCTGTCACTGGAAATACATGTTCAGAGTGAATACCCACTCACCTTGGGAAGAGGATAGAGATGACACAACGGTTGGCCAATGTTCTGTTTACAAAACTCCAGAGTGTGACATACCACATCAGCATTCATATCTGCGCTAAGCCTGGAGGGAAATGGGGCAAAACAAAGGCTATTCAGATCTCTCTGGCATTAGAAAATAGAAACTACTACAAAGGAAGGTAAATACCCAGAATGGATTCTAATACCCTCAGCTCATTGCAGCCTGGCCTTTGAGCCCAGTCCTGTGGAGCTGCTGGATTGTAATGATTTCCTGCCATGTTGCTCTCTCCTGCATTTAGAATGAGGTCCTAAGGGCAAGCAGGGAGCACCCACAGCACTGAGCTGTCAGTCAGCCTTCCACGCTAGCGTTGGGATTCTTTTCAGGAAAAGCCACACATAAAATTGGGAAAGAAAAAGTGGGCAGGGATGTCATTTGATGGAAACAGTGTTTTGAAGTTTGGGCCTTTGAAACATATGGTGACTTTATAGTGAAAAATCATTTACGATATAGCCTTAAACACGGAGACTTACTTTCTTAGGAACAATCCATCTCTTTCCTTATGGATGAAAATTCATTGGTTAGACCACAAAGCACTAAAATGGACTTCATTTCTTTCTCTTTCTTTTCTTTCTTTCCTTTTCTCCCTCCCTTCCTCCCTCCCTTTTTCCCTCCCTCCCTCCCTCCTTCCCTCCTTCCTTCCTCCCTTCCTTCCTTCCTTCCCTCTCTCTCTCTCTCTCTCTTTCTCTCTCTCTCTTTCCTCTCTCTCTCTTTTTTTCTGGTTGTGGGAGACCAGAGTTTTATTATTACGCAAATCAATCTTCCCAATTATTTGGGAGCAGAGTTTTTTGTTTGTTTGTTTGACAGAGTCTTGCTCTGTCGCCCAGGCTGGAGTGCACTGGTGCCATCTTGGCTCACTGCAACCTCCGCCTCCGTGATTCAAGTGATTCTTCTTCCTCAGTCTCCCAAGCAGCTGGAATTACAGGCACCCACCACCATCCCCAGATAATTTTTATATTTTTAGTAGAGACGGGGTTTCATGGTGCTAATCAGGCTAGTCTTGAACTCCTGACCTCAGGTGATCCACCAACCTTGGCCTCCCAAAGTGCTGGGATTACAGACGTGAGCCGCTGCACTTGGATGCCAGGCATATTTCTTATTCTTACAGAAGAAAGTAAAATGTACTTGTTTCTTTCCCTGAGGATGGTATAAGAATAGTTCTCTTTAAACATTTAGTTTATATCTAGATGGGATGGAGCTAAAACAAACTTTCCATGTCCATTTTGATTTCTACTCTCAAAACTCTTCTTACCAAGAAAAATGAGTATAATTTTTCGAATGAAGTGAACAAGCATAAACTCTTAGTACATTTTACAGGCAAATTATGGATTCAAACCACAGGTCAAATCAAGAAAACAAAAATAAAAAACTCCAGCAACACAGGTTGGTAATATCCAGAGACCAATCTTTGTATTCTGTGGCGGGACAGTGGTGGAGTCTAGAAGACACTTTCTTTCTTTTTTTTTTTTTTTTGGTCATAATTTACTCATTTATTCTTTTTTTAAATTTTTATTGTATTTTAGGTTTTAGGGTACATGTGAAGAACATGCAAGGTAGTTGCATAGGTACACACGTGGCAGTGTGATTTGCTGCCTTCCTCCCCATCACCTATATCTGGCATTTCAGAAGATACGTTCTTTGGGCTTCTTCCCAGCTCACATGACCACTTCACTGCCTCCCCTTGCCTGTGGGGGTGGGCTCCTGGTACCTGTGTTTATATGCTGTAGCTCCCAGCCAGTTGATTAGAACTCATTAAATTACTGTTTCAAGCAGGACTGATCTAATTCTTACAAACATTTGGAAATGTTGTTAAAAATGTTCAGCTTCACTCTGGGCTACTCTCAGAATAAGAAAAGCTGGAGAGAGCTGGGATGGTGCTGTCCTAATTGTCTACCATGTGGACTGAGTATCTGGAAAGCTAGTCTGAGGGGTGGGTTCTGAGGGTATTTTCCTGCCCTTCAGTCCCATAATCTGTGCGCTCTAGGTTCTTTATAATAAATTCACTCCAACCTCTCCCCACCCAGCTCTTATAACAAGTGCCTGTACAGTCACGGCAATGACTAACACCTCTCTTCTCTCGCTGAGACTGAGCCGCCTCCTCCTCCTCTTTTTTCTTGTGATTGAAGGCAGTAACAGCCCACACATGGGCCGACTCTTGAGCACTGCTGGTTAGCATTGGGGTGCTTGTCCCCTTTTAACCCCTGGCCTGAATGTGAGTCACTGAATCTGCTGTCTCCCTGCACTCTCCTCTCTGCTTTCTCTCCCTGATGCCCATTTCACAGACTCAAGTAACTTGTCTGCTTCCCTAAGGGAATTTTATACCTGGGCATAAGAATAATAAATGGAATTTAGAACGATAAAAAGCAAACAAAACAGAACAGAAAAACACTCTTGGTTTTCACTTTCTGAGTAAGCAGCAGTTGCAATGGTTGCTAAACTCTCTAAAAATCTCTAAAAGTGTTATCTTGGGGCCGCCACACCTGCAAATACTGGGGGGGCCTTGAGCGTTTATTTCTACCATGCACCTTCCGGCAGAAAGAACTACCCTGTGTTAATGAAAACATGTCTTCTCAAAGCCCATCAAAGAAAAGGGGGCCACCTTGGAAATCTCTAATTATTTTAGGATAACTAATATGTGAAAACAGGCTGGAACCATGGCTGCCTAAATTTCATTCCAGCTGAATGCGGCTGACATTGTGGCTGGCAAGATGGTTTATCAACCTTTTGTGAGCACCTAAGTAAAGAGGGAAATGCAGAATTCATCAAGTTCATCATGAGAGTCACCTGCTTCGCCCCAGGGTTCCTTCAAGGGAGGTCAGGGGGTAAGACTGCAGCTAAAAGTATAAAAGATGCCCTCCCTTCTAAGCAGTGGGGCAGGCTGCTTGTGACAGATAAAGTCCGTTACCTAACTAATGTCTACCAGGGGTCAGTAAATCAGGAGAGGGTGGCTGTATTCACACATCTGCTCTCAATTTAATTGTTCATTTATTTAACTGATGACTGCTGTCTTTATGGGGGTCTGGTAGTTAGTGGACTTGAGAGTGATAAATAGGGCTCTGCTTAATCTTTGTTTTTAACCTAAGGCCAGTTATCCCATCTGTGGCAATCCAGGACTAGCAGAGCCAACTATCATGTAATATGTAAGACCTAGTCTCTGTTCCCCTCTAATAGGCCTCAACTTCAAGTAAGTGAACTGGAATGTGAGAGTGGAGATTTGGATCACTCAGAGAGTGAGGCTGGCCATCTTTGAGCTGGGGAGCAGAAGAGAACTGGGCATGTAGTGTCCCTCTAGGTCCTCTAAGATAGAGATTCATCATAAAGAGACATAAAGTGACAAGTATTCCTTTGGATAAAAAGAGAAAATGACGAACCCATACATCAACACACATTTAAAACCATTAGGATGTGCAGATGCATAAGAAGTGGCAGTATGGCGTCTGTACTCTTGCTCAGCCTTGGGACGGAAAGCCTAGACGACGCATGATTTGCTGAATCTTTAAGCAGTCTGCAAACTCATAGGACCAATTCCCACCTTTTCTTTTTCCCAGAGCAGCCAGTAAAGCCAAGAGAGTCAGAATTTTAAAAAGACTTTTTCTTTTGAGCAGTTTTAGGTTTACAGTGAAACTGAGAGGAAAGTACAGAGACGTCTCATTTACCTCCTGCCCCCCACATACATAGGCTCCCCTATTACCAGTATCTGCCACCAGAAATTTCTTCAAATTCAAAAACCTGCATTGACACATTATTGTCATACAGAGTTTAATTTACCTTAAGGTTCACTCTTGGTGTTGTATACTCAATGGGTTTGGAAAAACACATAATGACTTGTAGTCACCATTATAGTATCATATGGATTAATTACCACTGCCCTAAAAATCCTCTGGGTTATGCCTATTTGTCTCTTTCTCCATCCTAACCCCTGGTGACCACTGATATTTTTGTAGTCTCCATAGTTTTGCCTTTTGCAGAATGTCATATAGTTGGAATCATACTGTATGTAGCCTTTTCAGATTGATTTTTCTCCGTAATGTGCATTTAAGTTTACTCCATGTCTTTTTATGACTTTAGAGCTCATTTCCTTTTATTGCTGAGTGATATTTTATTGTATGGTTCTACCACAAGTTGTTTATATGACTCAACGTTGTGGCTGCTTCCAGTCTTTGATGATTATGAATAATGCTTCTATAAATATTCTTGTGCAAGTTTTGGTGTGGAAATAAATATTCAACTCAATTGGATAAGTACCTAGTGGTATGAATCCTGGCTTGTATGGTGAGACAACATTTTGATTTATAAGAAACTATCAATTGTTTTGTTTTTTTGAATTTTAAACATTCCATGAACAATAATATGTCATTGTTTTAATTTGCAATCCTCTAACAGCATATAATGTTCAGCTTCTTTTCATAAGTCTATTTGTTATCTGTATGTCTTTTTAAGTGAGGTGTCATTTAAGGTCTTTAAGGTTCTTTTTTTAAACTGGGTTGTTTTTTATTGTTGAGTTTTAAGAGTTTTTATGTATATGTTTTGGATAAGAGATCTTTATCAAGTATACATTTTGCAAATAGTTTCTCTGAGTCTATTTATTTGTACTGTGTAAAAAGTCATCACAAAACTCAAGGTCAACCATATTTTCTCCTACACTTTTAGGAGTTTTATAGTTTTGCCTTTTAAATTTAGGTCTCTAATGCATGTTGAGTTCATTTTTGTGAAGTATTTAAGGTCTGTGTCTGGATTAATTTTTTTTTGCATGTAGATGTCCATTTATTCCAGCACCATATGTTGAAATGACTATCTCTTTTAAAAATCATATTGCCTTTGCTCCTTTATCAAAGATCAGTTTACTGTATTTATGTGGGTCTATTTCTGGGCTCTCTATTCTGTTCCATTGATGATTTGTCTGTTCTCTCACCAGTGTCTTGATTACTGCAGCATTGTAGTAAGCCTGAGTTCAAGTAGTATCCGTCCTCCAACTTTGTTCTTCTCTTTTTGCTCTTTTGCCTCTCTATATAAATTTTAGAATCTGTGTGTCAATATCTATAAAA